TAAAAATCCAAAAGTAAACTCGGCGGGATAATTGGGTAAGATAAAATGAAATCCACTATCAAATCTGTTTAGAAGGGGAAACCTGGAAAGCTGGGGGTTTACGTATCTGGTAGCGAACGCAAACTCTTCCTGCGGACGCTCCGGAGGGAACCTCGCGCGCCCCAGCCACCCGCAGCCGCCGCAGGACCGTTCCTTCCACCTTCTCGCAGCACTTTCTCCAGCCCGGTTTCACGCACCCGAGACGACAAAATGTTCTTGTTTGGAGACTTTAATGCATTTGAATAGATTGCGTGTTTAGGAAGTTTTCCCTGATGTTTTCTATTGCTGTTGCTTCTGTCACACCATAGATTTTCTGGCACCTTAAAAATTCCCTTTGCAAGGAGATGGTTAAAAATCCGAAAGATTGTCAAAATAGTTTAAAAAATCCCACCCAGTCTTTCACATCAGAAGTCTTCCCAACATCAACTTACTAAAGCCCTGTATTAGTCGGTACGCCCTCCTCGTTAGCCTCGATCAGACTTTTCCCAGAAGCAGCTCCCCCGTACCGTCTCCTTCCCATCCCTCGCCATCGAGGACGGGCTCGCACTGTAAATTGTGAGTTTAACTGTAGCTCCATTTCATCTCTGCGAACTGCAGGATAAGGACCCATTCCTCAGAAATTATAGTCAGCAATATTAGTCCCTGGGTATGGCATTACCATATCTGGGATGATTTAGGGACAACGAAATCCCCGTGCCATCAAGCTGGGTGATTCTTCCGACGCAAATGATCCCGCAACTCAAGATTCGCTGCGTGCGCTCACTGAAGCTCGGTCCCTTTTCCTTCCTCGTTCCTTTCCATACCCACCCCTGGCGGGGCTCGGCTGCCGGGAGGAGCAAGCTGCCGCTTTTTCCAAATATAACCGAGCTCTGCGAACGCAAGATGAAAACTGCTGCGGGAGGAAATTATCCTGAAACTCAAGCCCGTTAATCCAAGGGCACTGCATGAGGAGGAGCAGGAGTTTGTCGTTCCTGGGGAGTCCTCCCTCCACGATCCGGTTCCCTTGCTCTTAGGGGTTTTTTTAGCCCAATCCACTCTCACTTGAAAGTAAAATCCCGGTTAGGGTGAGGCGGTGCTGTAGGATTATGGTTAAGCGACCCACGGCCTGCAACGAGCTCACGTTAACTTCTGCCCGGCTCTAAGCGTCACTTAGCACGCTGCTTTGGGGAGTCCAGAGGCTTTGCCCCGTCACTGCTCGGCAATCCAAACGTTCTTAAGGCCCCAGCAAACACCTGAAGCATTGGGAAAAGAAGAATCATCCCCAGGCTCTGCTGGAAGCCTGCCAAAGGCTTCAGCGCCATTAAGAACTCGGCCGTTCTTTGCAATCTTACCTATTAAGAGGCAAATAAATGATAACGGCAGCTTGGGTCTATTTCCCAGACAATTTGCGCTGAAATTAATAAACTGAGAAACAATTTAGTGGCATAGCCACGGATTTTACATGCGTTTAAACCACACTGGTACACAACTGCTCCTTCAAGGCCTGGTGAGGGACACGGAACTCATTTGCCTTTCGACTGCCAGCGGTGGCTCCGGACCCTGGACGCGGCTCTTCTCCTTCGCATCCGAGTGGCTGCAACTCCGACGCCCCTGGCGTATTGCATCAGCTCTGGGTTCACTGCACGTCCCTCGTGCAAGGCAAGTTTGTCTGTAAGAGGACAGATAAAATGACGGTGGGAAAGGCATCAGACAGCAGAACGAGAAAAACTATCATGCAAATTGACAGCGAATGTTGAGAACGGGGGTAACTAGCAGAAAGGCAAAAAGCTTTTGTGTCTTATTTTAAGTACCGGACACATCCAGCGTAGCCAGTGCTGCCCAAGAGCCTGACACAGCTTTCGAGACACACAGCAACCGCTGAAGCGAAGCGATGGAGCCGTCCGGACGTTACCAGGACCCTTCCGAAATGGCGTTGCTGGTCCTCCAGACACCAACGTTTGAGAAGTATTGAAGGGCAGCGGACGGGACACGGAGGATGATGCCTTCCACAGCAGAGACGAATTCCTGGCCGGGATACGGAGCAAAGCCAGCGCCGCCCAGCTCTGGCAGCGCCACTCATCTCTGCGCCTAGGACTGGGATTTTCACCTCGGGTTAGTGCAACCCATGGCCTCTCCTAACCAGCAGCTGCAAGCGGGAACCGTTGTTGTGCCTTCCCAGGAGTTGTTTTAACGCTCAGATCTTCAGCTTGATTTAAAACAGGACGCTCTCTGTCTTTTGAGTTGGAAAATGCTGCGCGTTACTGCACAGCACCGGCGCCCCTCAACAGGAGATCGCTGGGCAGTTCTTCGCGTTGGCCGCGTTTGCATCAGACGCTGGCGGTCTCCGGTTTCTGTAAGCGCAAACGAATGGGACAAAGCCCGTGCTAACGCCAAGGCCGCCCGACAGGCCAGCTTTCTGAATGCACGGCGCCCGGCAGCACAAGGCGTGTTCCCAGCAGATACACAGAGACAATTTTCCATGTAAAACGATTACAATTTAACAGAAAAACTTACTTTTAGCTGAAGGCGTTCTGGCAGCTGGAGCAGCAGATTTGTGGCTATTCTAACCACCAGGCATGCATGCATTGCGGCACAGGGTTGCCCGCTCCTTAGCTTTTAATTTACAGAACTAATTAGTTGGATTTACTGTCTCTAGCATCCCTCACCCTCTATTTGCTTAAGGAGAAATGGATGAGCCCTGCGTGTCACGACAAGCCCAGGAGGGCAATAACTCTGGCACAAGGGCACGTCCAGCGGGAACACCGGAGACGCAGCAAGAGGCTCGAACCTCGCAGCAGCCAACACCTGCGTCGCTTCGCGCAGAGGAGACCTGCAGCACCCTCGCGTAGCCAAGACGCAGATCATCCAAGGGGTTTGAACCTTCCCTAGCAACTCCCGCGCGTCGGGAGGAGAGGGGACGTTCCCCTCAGCAAGCGGATTTCAGACCCGGATAAAGGGAAATACAGGAGTTTTGCAGCAAAAACGGAAGCACCAATACTTTCCAAAGCGTATTACGGCGTCGGCACGAAGCAACGCCTGGCAAAGACATTAGGGCAGTCGATTCGGCGCATCCGAAACGTACGGAGGCTTGGGAGCTCGCTGTAAGCAGCGCGGCTGAGTAACGACAGAGAAACGTGGCAGTTACCACATAAAATCATAATTTTCCTGCTCGGCTGGAGAAAACGTCCTGTACGGTAACGCACAGCACAGCGACACTCAGCTCAGACTTCCAGGTATTGAAGAGATTAAGTAATAGTTAAGCAGCAAGATCTTCAACAAAAAGACACCCTGCGATGACACTTTATTAGCAGCACTTCGTTTTACGACTAGGGACGAAGAGACCTTCCAACCACAGACGTTCGCAGCGAACAGCAGCGCGTTCAGCTGGCGACCCGGCCGGCGGCAACCCCTGCGAACCCCGATGCCTTTGGAACTGTGCGTAGCGTAAGGCTCGACAAAAGCAAGGTAGGCTATTTTGAAATTTCTCGTTTTAAAACATTTAATTAAAATATTATTTCCGTGTAACGGTAATGACATCACTATCCCTGGGTGAAACCCCAATTTCACCGTCCAGAGAGCGCCTACGGCGCTGCCCAGGCCGGGCCCAAGGCTCAGCCCGTTCCACGGCCTCGCGGCTCATCTCCCTCCGGCACCCGAAAACCCGGAGCGGCTGGGAAGCGCGGGGCCCGCACCCGCCCCCTCGCTCGGGGCTCGCGCTGCTCCCGCTCCCTGCAACGAGCTCTCTTCTGCAGCCAGGGCAGAGCAAACCAGAGCGGCGCCCCGGGACCCCAGCAGCCCGTTGGTGTAAACCCTTGCTTTCCCCGGGCGCGGGGAACGGCCGGGACAGCGAACTGCCTCTGCTCCCTGCTCCCCGCGCTGGGGAGCAGCGGCTGGGGGGGGCGGCGCC